GTTTCAATTTTGAAATGCATTTCAGCTATAATATGAGTGATTTATCATTTAACGGGAGCTGTCAAAGTAAACTCCTAGCTAAAACAAAAACATCTGGAACGATAAACAGATGAGGGCAGGAGCTGAATTTCAATCCCGCATCCAAGCATGTTCGCTCCATTACAAACAGGAAACAGCTAATTAGGAATTGAATGTTTCATGTTTGAAAGAAGGCCTGCCCTCTCGGAACAGCAATGATCAAATATGGAGCCTGAACATAAACATGAATAAATATCACAGACAAAATTAATGCCTCAGGAATGTCCAGGAGCCTGGGAACTATGGATGGCAGGGGGGACAGAACTGGGCTTTGACGGCACTTAGTAATTAAAAAAAAAAAAGTTTAGATATTCTCTATCCACTCCTTTGATTTGCTGTTCACGTCCCATGTTTGGGAAGGTCCATTTCTGCTGCGTGGATGTCATGTTGATAGAAAACCTGGCAGTTTAGAATTCCTTGAGTAGGACTGAATCTCCAACACAGCAGTGCCCATCTCAATTTGTGGAGAAACTGGTGTTCAAAGATCAACCTCTTTGTCTCTCTCTCTCTCCTTCTCAAGTGACAACATTCAGCATTGTGCTGTATTTTTTTCCCCCCCTAACCGCTATCATTCAATGTGATGGGCCAAAAAACTCCTTTCAATATTTCTTTCAAAGGAGAAGGACGGTTTGATGGACTTTTCAGCTTTTACCTTAAATATGAGGTGGTTGAGAAGGATGGGAGAGCATTCTGTTTTTCACCGAATAATCACTTTTCTTAGTAGTTTACAGCTTCTCTGACTTTGCTTTGATATCAAGAGAAGGTTACGGTGGAACTCTTCCAGTTTTTTGTTTGTTTTTTTACCCCAGATCAGAAACCTGGGGAGGGGAGATCAAGGAAGCTGCAAAATGATGCAATGGCAGTTAATGGATAGGGTCAAAAAACTTGGTGGCCTCTAGGTTCTCCCTTACCCACCATCAGTCTCCAACTAGATAATCTATATTAGCATTTGAGCACGAAATGCTGATGTAACATATACTGTGATGTAACTGTATTTTGTTTGGAAATTGGGCAGCATACAAGTTTAAGTAATAATATTGATCGTCATCATGATCATGAACATGATTATCATCTTAACTTTTTTCCCAAATCTGCTCAACTCCTTTTCCTCTAACTTTTTCTGTGCTAGTTGGTTAAAAGGAAAAATAAAAGATGGCTCAAAAATTAATAATATAACAGAATAACAGAGTTGGAAAAAGACCTTGGAGGTCTTCTAATCCAACCTCCTGCTCAGCAGAAAGCCCTCTATCATTTCAGACAAATGCTTGTCCAATCTCTTCTTAAAAACTTCCAGTGATGGAGCACCCACAACTTCTGGAGGCAGGTTGTTCCACTGATTCATTGTTCTCACTTTCAGGGAATTTCTCCTTAGTTCCAGGTTGCTTCTCTCCTTGATTAGTTTCCACCCGTTGTTTCTTGTCTTCCCTCGAGGTGCTTTGGAGAACAGGTTGACTCCCTCTTCCTTGGGGCAGCCCCTTAGATATTGGAAGACTGTTATCATGTCACCCCAATCCTTCTCTTCATTAGACTAGACATGCCCATTTCCAGCAACCGTTCTTCATATGTTTTAGCCTCCAGCCCCCCAATCCTCTTTGTTGCTCTTCTCTGTACTCTTTCTCAAATCTCTACATCTTTTTTATAATATAGTGACCAAGACTGGATGCAGTATTCCAAGTGTGTTCTTGCCAAGGCCTTATAAAGCGGTACTAACACTTCACGTGATCTTGATTCTATCCCTCGGTTCATCCGATATGTTCTCCCTCTATTGATATTTTCTTTTTCTGGCATTTTTCAACATGCTACAGGTAGTCCTCAACTTATGACCACCAACAGGATTGGAATCTTTAGTGGTTGAGCGAAGCAAGATAGACACGTGACTGCTTCGATCAACAACCGCAATCCTGGCACTCTCAATAGTGATTGTTAAGCAATCTCACGGGTCATTTAAGTGGATGGAGTATCAGGTAGAGATGGGAAGGACTGGGGGGAAAACTGGAAAAATTGGGGGAAGAACTGGGGGGTTTTTTCCCGGGTTTTTTCTTCTTCTTTTTTCCCAAAGCCGTTTGGGGAAAAAATGGAAAAAATTCATGTTTTTTCCCCATGTTTCCATGGGTAAGGAGTATGGGGATGATTCAGGAGAGTGGGGAAGGACCATTGTAATTCCGGATTGTTATTACACAAATGGTCTTAAGTCAACCTATAGACAGGCAAGATTATAAATATATTTTGGGGCCATAAATGCACTCCTGTTTTAGGTCTACGCCATAATCAAATATTCACTTGCTCCTGTAAAAATGGAATTAGGCAAAGGTGAGCAAAATGGGGGGTTTACAGCAGTCTGAGTGCAATTCTCCAGAGATCATATTGACAGTATAAAAAGGTGTAAATGATATTCCCTAACACTAAGATATGCATATGAGGCCCCAGTGCATGATAGACTTTTATAACCTGTCATGAAATGCATGACTGCCTTAATAAGCAAGACATTTAGGGAAAAAGATAACTATGCTGCATAACTTGAAGAAAGATCTCACCTGTTTGCCGTTAAGCCAAATTTATTTATTTTATTTTTATTTATTTATGTATTAGACTACTCCGCCGTCCATCTTGCCCAGAGGCGAGTCTCCTACGTTAATAATATTTGGATTTTTGATTGTATCTCTCCCCCCCCACCAGATGTGGTCATTAACACAGAATAGGGATGTTGGTCCTTTGTTCCATATTTGGAGTCCCAGAGGGAAACTAGAACCAGAGTGGGAAGTGGGAACTTTTAATCCTCAGGATCATGTCTCGCTTAGCACCTCAACCAACACTGCATAAGGAAAGCATCCCCAATTCTGGACTTGCAAGACAGTGTGCTATACAGATAATCCTTGACTTATGACCAACTACTTAACAGCCGTTCAAAATTACCTGGGACAATGGAGTTACAATCAGTTCTGATGACAGAATAAAGACTAACCAAGAAAGAGACCTTGGAGGTCTTCTCCAGCTCAAGCAAGAGACCCTATACCAGTGATGGCGAACCTTTTAGAGACCGAGTGCCCAACCCCCCCTGCCCCCACACCGTCCCCGCCCCGCGGGCCACCCACTGTCTCCATGGCCTGCCGCATATCGCCCAGGGGGCCCAGCAGCACCATGGTGGCCACGCCCTCTGCCCACGCCCTGCAGCATCATCTGCACGTGACGGGGCGCGAGGGCGGAGTCTTGTCCCCGCTGCCCGGCTGCCATGTCCTTGGCTGCGCTGTTCCGCATGGGCCACACCCGGGGACGACTTTCCTCCAGGGGGGCTACTGGTGAGGAGGGGGCCACGGGGGGAGGCGGGGCTGGGGTGATGGCACACGTGCCCAGAGAGAGGGCTCTGAGTGCCACCTCTGGTACGCGTGCCCTATACCATTTCAGATAGATGGTTGTCCAATCTCTTCTTAAAAAGTTCCCGTGTTGGATCACCCATGACTTCTGGAGGCAAGTCGTTCCATTGACTGATTGTTCGAACTGTCAGAAAGTTTCTCCTTAGTTCTAGGTCAGTGGTGGCGAACCTATGGCACGGGTGTCAGAGGCGGCACTCAGAGCCCTCTCTGTGGGCACGCGCACCGTCGCTCCAGTCCTAGACCTTCAGCTGGGTTTTATAAAACCTTTTCACTTTAGGCCTCCGCCGCCATGTGCAAAAAAAAAAGCTTCAATCAATCAGTCAATTTCAACTTCTTGCGGGAAAAAAAAAGATCTCGCAAAGTTGGAATTGATTGATTGAACTTTTTAGTCCCACCCAGTCTGCCGTTACCACCGCAGCCACGCCCACCCAATGGGCCACACCCACCCAATGGGCCACACCCACCCGGCACCCAACGATGCATAAGTGGGTTTTGGGTTGCAGTTTGGGCACTTGGTCTCTAAAAGGTTCGCCATCACTGTTCTAGATTGATGCTCTCCTTGAAGTTCTAGATTGCTTCTCTCTGGTCAACCCCGCCTTCACATTCTCACATTTCTCATGCACTTGCCTTATAAAAGGGCATCAGCTTTTTTTTTTTTTTTTTTTTTAAAGATGAAAAATATGCAGGAGTTATCCTTCCTTCCTTTGCACCTATCGCTTGCTTCCTCGATGGATACCAGCATTAACGAAGGTATCCACATGCAGCAGAAGAAATCTCCCCGCGATCATAAAACGATGTTATTTTCTGTTCAGCAGTTCATGTTACTGCAGTTCATGCTAATTAATTAAAGGAGCTGTTGCCTTAATGTGCAAACAGGGAATCTGAGAAACCAAGAGGCCTTTGAGGTCTCCGACTGAAGTTAAGTCAATCTGGGCACGAGCAATCAAATCTAATGAAATCACATGTCAGTGCTAAGCTTGCAAAAACTGTGAAGTTTGACTGGGGAGTAAAAGGATTATAATTAGATTTCCAATAGGATAATAACTAAATGGCAGAAAGCAGTAAAGAGAAAATATTACTTTGTTAGCTAATGGCGCGGCTGTTTTGGCTTTCCTGTTTTTATCAAGAGCGGCTCAAGAGTTGCGCTAATTTAATTTGCTTTTATCAGCAAAAAAATGCGGCGCTCGCAACGGTCCTTGAATGTCATTTGCAAAAATCATTGATCTGCAGGTGCACTTAATGACACCCAGTATGTTTATTTTATGGGAGACGGAGATTGGTCGAGGAAAACAAACTGATGTTGCTGTCCCCAAATATGGCTACGAGTGAATTATGGACACTGGAGTAGCCCGAATGTTTACATAGACATCTTTCCTTCGGATTAGCATCTGACTGGCCATTGGATATCCAAAGGATGGCTAAGTCATTGTTGTAACCTGGAGGTTAGGTCATAAGTTGCTATTTTCTGAAGTGCGTCATGATTTCGAATGGGTGTTAAATGATCAGTCGTAAGTCAAGACTACCTGTACAAGAAATAATGCAAGATCATGCTCAATTCAATTCAATTCTTTTGGTCTGTGTCCAGACTAGCAATAGCAATAGCACTTAGACTTATATACCGTGAAGGCTCCTAGATTGGGGCTCAAAGGCGAAAGCAGAAGCAGTACGCTCCGTCCCATATTTGGGGTATTTGGGGTAGACCAGGCTGCCCCGATAGATCGGTCTCACCGGAAAACATTCAAAAGAAGAGGATTTATCATACTGTATTTGGAGTCCCCGCACAACGTGACACGGACAAATCTCTAATATAGTGTATGACAGTGATGGCGAACCTTTTAGAGACTGAGTGCCCAAAAACTGGCCCTGCCCCCACTCCACCCCCTGCTCCGCCCCCTACCCCCAACCCACCTGCCCGCAGGGCCACTTGCCGCCTCGAGGGCCCACCACAGATTGCCCAGGCAGCCCAGCAGTGCCATGGCGGCCACGCCCTCTGCCTGCGCCCCACAGCATCAACTGTGCACGATGGGGCATGAGAGCAGAGTCTTGTCTACGCTGCCTGGCTGCCATGTCCTTGGCTGCGCTACTCCATGTGGGCCACGCTCGGGGGCGACTCTCCTCCAGGGGGGCTGCTGGTGAGGAGGGGGTCATTGGGGGAGGCAAGGCTGGGGCAACGGCACGTGTGCCCACAGAGAGGGCTCCGAGTGCCGCCTCTGGCACCCGTGCCATAGGTTCGCCACCACTGGTGTATGATATAGTCTGCAAGACCCCATACCTTGCATTGCTGCATTCTCGTGTTGGGTCCCATTGTGGTCAACTTCCATCTCCGGAATGCCAGCATCTGCCAAGCGTAAGATTCCTATCATTGTCTGCTCTAGTGTCACATTTCAACCACGATAGGCACAGAAGGAAATGATATGGGAAGATTTGTTAACCTTGTGTCCCCGTTCCCCCACCTCCCCCAGGAAGCTCAAAGCACCACGGATGCTTTGACTCTAACTCAGCTGCCTCTCCCCCCCCAGCCCAGCTGCTTAAATGAGATCCAGAAGAGCCTTTACCGTTCAGCATTCTGAGCCCATCCCCTGTCGTGGCCTGCTTCAGTGCTTGTTCCACTTGCTCTCTCCTCTTCGATTCAAACTCCAGAGCTTCCTGCAATTTCCTCTTCGCTTTCTTCTCCTTTTTCAAGCGCTTCTGAATTGTGGCTGAAAGAGCAACGGAGCCATTACGGAAAGGAAGGACCCCCCCCCCAAATCTGAAGGACACCCCCAAGGGCAATTTAGTTTGGCCTCGGGCGTGCAAGAAGACTTTTGCAAGCGTCACTGACTGCGCCGCTATATGCAAGTTGGCGTCGACTTAGGGACCGCAGCTCGGCCCAAAATTTATGTTGCTAAGAGAGACAGTCGCTAAGTGACTTTTGCCTCGTTTTGCAACCTTTCTTGGCACAGTTGTTAAGCGAATGACTGCAGTTGCTAAGTTAGTACCATGGTTTGTAAGTGAATCTGGCTTCCCCCTTGACTTGGCTTGTCAGAAGGTCTCAAAAGGGGATCACATGGCCCCAGGACACTGCAACCGTCGTAGGTACATGCCAGTTGCCAAGCCTCTGAATTTTTAATCAGGTGACGCTTCCACGGTCATGTGAAAAATGGCCATAAGTCCTTTTTTCAGTGGCGATGTAACTTCACTGAATGAATATGGTTTTAAGACGAGGACCTTTTGTACTATGAAGGGACTTGAGTCATTCTGTTGCCAAGGATGAGCAGAAGAAGCACATCTACTCATCCCTTCCTTACTTTGGAACCAAGCAGAATAGGATTTGAAGATTATTTCTGTAGTCCTAATGGGAATGGGCCTGGAGAAACGTTGTCCATGGGGTCGCGATGGGTCGGACACGACTTCGCAACTAACAACAACAACAATGGGAATGGGAGAATCTTCTTGAGTACGACGAAAGGCCCAATGGAAAGCAACGGACCATTCTCAGTTTCAAGACTGGCTCCATCAAATGCCTTTCTCCTCTCCTAACACTCCAAGTTGGTAACCAAACTTCACCCAGAGTTGATAACACAGCTACACAGAGGTTTCATTGCTGTCGATGGAATCCAGTTTCAATTCTCTAAGTTCTCAGACAGCGTCATAGTGACAGCCCTGTGTTCCTCAAGAACAGGGGTCTCCAATCAGCTCTGGGTTCCCCCATGCAAAAGCTAGCATAGACAATTCCCCCTTTTCCGTACGGGCCACCCACAATCCATTACGTCCACCAATCACTTCTGTTCGTTTTGTTATGGGAAACCAGCGAGCCAC